ACCTAGTGACGATAACTGTCTGCTTCTTAAATTGGGCCTAAAAAATTTCCCATCTCCGTCCACAAGGATATGAAATGTATTATTCTTAATACTTGATCAGTTATGGGGAATTGCCTCCATGCATAACTAAAAAGTAGAATTATTGCTGGCATTTCACTAAAGTAAAATACATCCAATATCACACTTTTAGATGGGTCATATAGAGATAGGCTGGATTTTTGAACATATGTATGATCCAGTTGTACCCAACTACATGTAGATTTTCAAGAGTTATTGGCAATGTTATTATTTCTGTTTTCCTATGCTTGATTTGTTTGTGAATGCCACCTAAACACTTTGAAAATGGGACCCAATTTCTGTTCCCATGAATTTTTCAGGAAATATCACCGGTTGTGCAGGATGGATAAGACCTCACTTTGGGGAATATTTTAAGGGTATGAAAACAAGTTATTGCTGGATCAGAGAAAAATAGGCTCTGCTCTGTCCAATGAATACCTAAGCCACTCAGCCAGCAATTTATACCCAAACTGTAGTGATTTCAGGTAAAGTTGAACATCTCCACCAGACTGACTGGAAAACCCCTTCAGCCTATTAAAATGTGCTTGTTTATAGAAATCACTTCTAAGGTGGCAAGTATAGCTTCTTATCTCTCCAGCTGGGGAGATCACTGCATCCAGCCCTCCAGTATTTTCAGTATATGCTTCTCTAATGACTCTTTTTTTCAGTCATGTTTTGCACAAAGCCAAATCTGATAACTACTCTCAGGAAAAATTCCCCTGTTTGAGGTCTAATCTATGGATTTAGGTATGGTTTAGCCTTGAGCTGTATCCATGCAGTGTAGCCCAAACCAGTGGCTTGGTGCAGCTATCACTAATCTTTTCCTTTGCACTGCATCCCCTGAAATCTGCTGCTACATTTTCATCCCATTTTCTGGCTCCTGCTATTTCTGGCTCCTCATAAACCCAACATGTCTATTCTAGTTCTGGGACCAAGCAATTTGCTGCCTCTCATTAACAAGACTGGGGCACGTCTGGAAGTGCTCAGAAGAAAAACACTGGTCAGAGTCATTGTACTGGTGAAGATTTAGGTGCCAACAAAGGGTAGGTGCCTCTAGCGCCAGGCACTAAGTGAATAACAGTGAGATATTTGGATTTGAGTGCCTGATGTGCCAGACGTTTTTGTGGCAGATGTGGTTAGATGTTATTTTAATACTTTCATGTTTTGTGTGTGAATCTACCCTGAAGTGATTAAGTCAGTACTGAAAATGAGGCCAAGCCCACGAAAGTAGTTTAAAATTCTTGTCCTCATGCTGTTTCAACTGTAAATGTTGCAGTGCTGGTAGGAACAATGTTCATACGCTCTCTAGACCATATGTAAATTACTGACTCACCTTCTCACCTGAATCTGAGCGATGAGCCATGTTTATAATGCAGTTCCTATCATATGCAATGAAATTAACAAGTAGAGCATTATCAATTTTTTTTTAATTATTTCTGGTTTTTAATGTATGATCTGCAGGTGGTGAACTTTTTACTGGTCTCTACAGTGACTACTGGGGGAGAGATGCTGCTCTATTTCGCACCATGAATCGCATGGCCCATCTCCGAACTGAACCTGATAGTGAGCGCCTGTTGAAAGGTATGGGAAGGAGGAGAAGAAAGAACCAAGGGTGTTTCAGATGACTAGGCAATTTCTGTTTAAGCAGAAATTAAAAAGAATTGTTCATACATATGTATATCGATTTGCAGATGAACTTGTTTAAACTGTGTTTTTTCCATGAAATTTTTCATCAGCCCCCTACCAGCATGAATATACTGAAATCTTTGCTTTGTTGCATATTGGATTTAACAAGAGGAACTTTTAAAACCTTCATTTTTCACCTTTAAAATTGCTTTTAATTTTTATTCTGAATATTCTATATGATTCCTTGATATGCTGGATATAATTAAAGTAATATTTTAAAATTTTTTATTTAATTAATAAGCACTTCTAATTAGAACACAGTACTCTTTTTTCTAGGTGAAATTATTTTGTCTTTATGTTGCAATAAAACAACTCAATCTTTGACAAGTTGTGCAGTAAAGAGATGTCATCCAATAATGTGAAATAACAAACATATGATGATCACACAGTTAAAAGAAACAAAAAGCTAAAGCAGGTAATTTTAAAGAAGAAAACTAAAAAAATCCTCAACAAAAATACTAAGAAAAAATCACATTCAGGGAAATTTAGAAATTGTTTCTTATTCTTCATAATGAAATGTAATTCAATTCCAAAGTGCTAAAGTTTCTGCAAAATAAAGAATCTTGATTTGTTGTGCTTCAAATGTGTTGAAATAGTTCATCACAACTTTGACACAATTACCGCTAAAGTTTGGCAGAAAAGAGTCAAGAATTGCCTGTTATGGTGATTCGTATGGTTAGCATCCTCTTTTCAGCGAAAACACATAGAAGTTTTTTCTCTCAAAGTTCAAAGCAACTTTCTCCTGAGTCAGAAGAGAGAAAATAGTTCTGCTACATATTTCTTTCCACATGGCTCTGACCGCAGACTTGCATTAAATTAATTTTTTATTTAATAATATATGTTTAGAACATGCTTAGATATGCTTTAAGTCCAGTACTTAGAGCATTGCTGAACTGATTGTTTAGACTGGCTACATATGAGTAACAACAATCAGGTGGGTGTTCGCAGTAGGCAAGTCAAGTTTTCTTCTGTCTGTAAGATTTCATAATTTTAAATACAGACTTCTCTGAATTCTGGCCTCAAACTTGGATTTTCATTTTATCTGTACTTGAAATTTAAATTTGCAGAAAATGAATATTTTTAAATACATGTTAAAAAAAAATCAGAAAATTAGCAAGTGCTGTATCAATGTCTTAAAATGCAATGACTCCTTACATATAGAACAGGAAGAAGATATTTACATTACCCACTGCTTCTTAAAAAATCATACTAATTGCGTGAATGTCATTCTCTTTCAACGAAATTGCGAAAACTTTGTTAGAATTCAGTGAGAAGAAATAATTCACAGCTTAGTTGGTGTGGGATTAAAAGTTATACAGGCACGGACTGAAGTTTTAACTTAGGTTTCAGCTTCGCAGGAAAATGTCAAAACAGGAGAAATTTAGAAGGTTTTTATTTCGTGACATAGATACACAATGCATCTTCTGTCTATGAAGATATATGTTCATACAACATCTATTAAGTGAACTACCAAAGCTTTTTGGTCATCTAACAGGCTATTTGTCCAAAGTTGATGTTCCTACACCTGGTTTGTATGGGATCAGAGACAGTTATGTGAATATTAGTTCCAGGTTTTAGCCTAATCCAAATTAAAATATATAAAGCCCAGAGAATGGGACTGGAAAAAGGTCTTTTTCTTGCACACATACAAAGGAATATTGATTTGCAAATTGGAGTTATGAAAATATTTTTGTATTAATGCATTCCACATGTTCTATAGATACCCACATACAAAAGAAATATTTTTTTTCCTATATCTATCACCCCATTGCCCTTAGGTAGCTCTCTGACTAACAGATCCTGGAGTCTTTAATTTTATTTGTTTCTTTTCTACCAGCTGATTTAAAGTATTGAAAAAAAATAAGAGAAGGTGTTAATAAACTTGAATTCAACTAGTTTATGCTTTTTTTTAAAGAACCAAAATTTGTTGGCTCATACATGATTCCTGACAATGAAGACCACGATGATAACAAAGTATACTTCTTCTTTACTGAAAAGGCATTAGAGGCTGAGACAAGCACTCATGCCATATACACCAGAGTGGGACGCGTATGTGCGGTAAGATCCTCTTTCCAGTTCCTCAGATAAATGAGGAAAAAGCATGCTCCTTTCTTTGGTCCTTCTCCCTCAAGCAAATGTGGCATCTGTTAACGTATATGAGAGTAAGTTAAAGGTTTGAATGAAAATCCTACATTTAAACAGCCCCAAGCATTAGAAAACTCAAAAGTGATCTGAAATCTGGGCTTGAAGCTGAATTTTGGTGAGAGAGGAGTGCAAAGTTCAGAAATCTTGTTATTCAACACCATCTCTCTTTGTGCTGATATGTGTTAACGGTAACAGCGGTTGCCCACAGAACTTTCTTATCATCCATATTCTCAATTCAGATCAAGGTGCCCTTAGTACTGGCTGTAGATCCAGGGCCTCCTGCAGCTGTCACAGATGACATAAATTGATGTCCCTCACATTCACGGTGAAAGGATCAGCTCAGCTACCAGTTCTCCCTTCCTTCACATCCTCTTCCTCTCACTTCCCTATTCTGTTAGCAAGGAGCAGACTTAACTCACCTGCATTTGTGCAGGGTCGATGCCTACCCTACGAGACACTTGGCTTTTGCAGCCAGCTGGACAGAACAAGAGGCAATGGGCACATACTGAAATACATCAAATGCCATCTGAATATAAGAAAACATTTTTTACTGCCATGGTGGTTGAACACAGCCATAGGTTGCCCAGAGTCTCTACCTTTGGAGGTATTCAAAACCTGACTGGACACGGGCTTGACTAAGTTGCTCAAAGCCTTATTTTGAGCAGGGCAGTTGGATTAGACGATCTCCAAAGGTCCCTGCCCAGTTCATCTATTCTGTGATTCTGTAAATTGTGAAAACCTCTTTCTGATGCACGGATGATAGGAGGGGTACAATGTCAACCATTTGTAGAGTGCTTTATAAAGAGTGCATTTCTCTTTCCTCTTCTTCTCAGCATCAACTAAGGAAAATTGTATATATAGGAAACTAGAACAAAGGACTGAAATACCCAGCAAATTCTTATTGCAGCTGGGCATGAAGTTTACCAGAAGAAGCAGAAAAGTCATGAGGAAAGATCTTGGTTCCCTCCACTGTCCTGTATGATTATCCATTTCCCACTCAGGCCACATTCCTAGTTTGTTGATCCCACCTCTTTTTGGCTCCCTGGCCACCCACACAGGAAGGACATCTCAGGCAGTTGCAGGAAAGGAGTACTGTTAACATATGATCTCCCAGATTCCCCTGCTCATAATCGGTCCTCTCTGAACAACTGATGAACTTTGGGTGCATTCCTTGTCTATTAATTGACCTACAGTAAGGCTGTTGAGAAGAGCTCTCCCATTCCCAGTGGGACTAAATCTGCTTTGCTAAAGGAAGGAATGAGAAGTTTATGTCTTAGCATCTGATTTTGTTTCTGCAAAAAATTGCATTCTTCCCTCCTAACTGTTGGGGATACATTCCTAAAACTGTCTGACAAAAAGCAAGATACAAGTTAAAAACCTTCTGTCACTTCAATGTATACTATATGTCACACACGCTCACCAGTATACTACCTATTAAAATTTCTTAAGGAGTACGCTTGTATAACCTGAAACATCTGAAGTATGTAAAGTACCAAATTGCAGCCTTAAGACACTAATGTTCACAAAGCCAGTTGCTTTCTGAGTTTGAGCCTGCATCAAGATCTGAAGTAGAATTCTTTGACCTATGCTCTGGAAGAGATCTGAATAGATTAATAGATCCCTCTAGTCTGAAATATATCCACCTAAACATCTTATTTCTAGATATGAGCTAAACCAAAATCCCATAGGCCTTTCTCTTCCACTTGTCCACAACTCCAAATGTGGAGTTATTTGGACATTAACTTAACAACCATATGCTATAATTCAAATTAGATTTAATGAATACAAAAAATAGCTAGCTGGTGGTTCAAGAACTGGCTTTATTCCCAGCTTTTATGCTTTCCTCTGAGCTGTAACAAGTTTTGCAACACAGAGGCACCAATTCTGTATATTTGTACATTTCTGAGGAGAATAGATGTCTGGTTTGGTAAGATCTCAATGTGAAGCTGAGGAAATCAATTAATTTCAGTAGTTTAGAGTGAAGTTGTGGGAGTTTTGCAAGCTTAATACAGAGATTTTAACACTCATTTACAGAGTCTACCTGAATACAAGGCCATAGCTTTGAGGATGCTACCCAAAGGCTGCTGAATCTGATTACTAAGTACTACTGAGGTCCCCCTTTTCTTGACTGCCCCAATCACAACAGCAAGAAAAAGATGAGGCAGCGGTAGTATAATGTTAACTATTTAAAGTTGTTGAGAAATTGTTAGAACACCATGTAGACACTTGTCTTAGGCTTTCCCCAGCTGTAGCTGCTCTCAGTTTCCAAATGTGTTGATCTAACCCTGCACTGAGCTCCTAAAGCAGAGCTAAACTTCTCCAATGTGCTCAGTACATCCATTTAACAAAAATGAGAAATAAAAAAGATTTACAACGGCTGTATATTTAAAACTGTCCATGGATGCGGTACAGAATTAAAAAATTCTTATAAACCCACAGATCTTAATGAGACCTGGGCTTGATCAGTGCAATCCTCCTTGAAAACTGACTCCAGAGAAATAATACTAGTAATAGACATGTGGTTTGAAAATGCATGCTTCTGACATTAAAAGTCAGAATGAGCGGCTAATTCATCAGAGATGTTTGTGCTTCTAGACTTACTCATTCAAATTACCATCAGCATTTGTTTCTTTCTACACAGAATGATATGGGAGGCCAGCGAATGCTCGTGAATAAATGGAGCACTTTCCTCAAAACCAGGCTAGTTTGCTCTGTGCCTGGGAGAAACGGAATTGATACGCATTTTGATGAATTAGGTAAACAACCTAATCTGCAACAAACTTAAAACCATCATAGAAAACATATACTTTCATGATAACACATCTTACTGTCAAATATTGTACTTGTATTCACTGACAGCAAAGCTGTTAGTGTTTTGTTTCCAGTGTATATGAAGTTCTATATATATGGAATTGACTATCATCAATTACACCTTTACATGTTGCATGGTGTTCAAAAATTGCTTTTAAAAACTGCATAAAATTAAGTAACATACATGAGTAACATAGGATTACACTTTTAACAAGCAGTGAAGTTTCTCTTTTGGGGCTGAGAAAAAGTAGTTTGCTACCAATAACACTGCATTTAAATTTTACAGAGGATGTGTTTCTGCTGCAAACTCGTGATAACAAAAATCCGGTGATATTTGGCCTCTTCAACACTACAAGGTAAACAACCAGAAGAAATAATAGCAGCAATAGAGGAACATTTGAACAGTCTATTGAAGAGATAGAAACTGCATGATAAGTATCCCTTAGCAAATACACAGTAAACAGTTTAATCCCTGTTCTATTCATAGTGGGCTTCTTTGTTAATGTAAAAACCGCTCTGTGACACTCAGGGACTTGAAATCTCATTCTATCCAGTCTATCTGGATCATAAATTAATTAAATGTTTCTCTGCTTGAAAATTTCCTACTGTCAAAGTATATGCACTCCTGCATCCTTATAAGAGCAGCCTATCAGAGCCACCTGTCTTCCTTTAAGAGCTCGGCTGTAATTCAGGTTTAAGCAGATAGCAACATAAAATCCTACTAACTTCTTAGTGAAACCTGAAACACCATCCGTGATGTTGCTGGTGGCCTCCTTTTCCACTGCAGACTAGTTCAAATGCAAGGACACAGTACCTGTTTCTTGGAGATCCGACTATTATTTTAGCACGTAACTAGTACAGAAGAGCAACTGTGCTTTGTCCATTATTTCACCCTTCTGGTTTTTGTTTTTTGTTTTTTGGTTTTTTTTAATTTAATAATTCAAGGCAGATCTGGTCCTCTAGGGATGCTGGCTCCCCATGTCTGTAGAGAAAAGTGGGCACCTAGATAATATTATCTGGATCACGTTCTGGAATATTCAAAGATAATTTCTTTGTAGAGACAACTGATGCTGCTTTAAAAAATAATGATTTGCTTCTCTGGAACTAAGTGAATAAAATTTAAAAGTAAAAAAGATACTTCAGTGTTGGTGGATCTACACAAAGTGATCTTGATGTTCTAACTAATAATACTAACCAACATTCTCATTCAATATAAAGAGACTCCTGTTCTTTTCAGTCAGAATTGGATGATTCCCATCTTTCCAAAGTAACAACAGGTAAAATCTTAGAGAAGAAAAATGGTTAACTGTTTAAGTCATTAATCAAAGATGTCTGAGACCTGAGTTCAGTTCACTACACTTCCTCTGTGTTTATAAACAAATAATTTAGAGCCTGTGTTCACCATCTTCATATTTTGGGACAACAACACAGAGCTTCCTCAGATAAATGTTATAAATATAGATACATGAAAGAGTCTGTAAAGAACATTGGACACAGCAGTTATAAGAAAAAACGTACAGGAAACCATAAGTAGTTTTTTCTTCCTGAATACTGTTGAAATGTGACTGATTAAAAATCATACTATAATATCAGTATCATATGTACAGAATCTAACATATTAATTTAAAATTACTTTGAATTTTACTTCATAGCAATATATTTAGAGGGTATGCTGTATGTGTTTACCACATGGCAAGTGTCCGAGCAGCTTTCAATGGACCATATGCTCATAAAGAAGGACCTGAATACCACTGGGCTCTATATGAAGGAAAAGTACCTTATCCTAGACCTGGTTCAGTAAGTACAATCTATTTTCCATTGCTTTGCTATGTAAATGAAATCAGGAGAAAAGTCAGCCTGCTGCTAATGTACACATCTTCCTGACTTCACAGTCCCAGATATATTTATCTGAATGTATACACACTCTAGTGTTTCTGGAAAAGTGTAGAATGGCTCAGCAATAAGTTTAATCACGTACTAAAATCATACATTTCCCAAAGGAAAATAGTGGAACTAAGTATACAAGGTTTTCCAAAATCCTGTTGGGACTTGAGTTTAGCAACCTTGTGTTAAGGTCCTAAAGTCCCAAAGATAGGACCCCAGGCAACAGGAGGAGAAAGAGACACTTCTAGAGGGCAGGTCAGATGCTGCATTCAGAAGCAACAAGTGTGTTACCTGAGGAGGAATCTCGCTTTCTATAGAGTTTAGAATAACTGTTCTTGTAAGTTTGGCTGCTAACATATGTTTTGCGTCTGAACCTTGATAACTTTAATGTAATTGCAAAGAAATAAATGAAAAATAATATCAATTTAAGTGTGTTGAGTAAGGCATGAGTTTTTTTTCTAATGGAACTTTCTGATGAACAAACTGTCCTTATGGACTTGGTTTGAGAAAATAAAAGCTAGGATGAACTAAAATATGTATCTATATTTAGAAAAATATATATATTTAAGAAGTATGCAATATTTTCCAATGTAAATAAGCTTATTACAGGAAAAATGCAAGCTTACACAAGGCAATCCACTTTTCTTCGTCTGCTGAAGCCAGGGCATTTAACAAGCGTTAAAGGAAGATCCACTATTTCAAGATCAGATGGTTCTGGTTGCTTTTTTTCAACTCTCTTTCCAGAAGAACAAATTTCAGTATTTCTGTAACTTAGATCAGTGCACAGGTTAGAAACCAGACATAGATTTTAATAAAAGTAGCTAATCAGAATAAACACATTCTTAGATAAGGATTAAATCCTTCATCACTTGAGTTCCTTCTCTCATGACTTACTCTTTCTAGAAGCAATGGTCTAGCGTCCTCATGATTCATTGCTTTGCTTTCAGACGTCACAGACAGAGATTTTATTAACCTCAAATCAGGTTTCTGATCTTACTAACATCCTGGTTCTCTAACCTTTACAAAGAATATAGAAATCTTAAAATAATGTTGCAAAGAACCAAACTCAGCAAAATCATTCACGCTTTCCACTAATTTTCACAACTTTCTTCACAAACTTCTTTTTTCTTCCAATGGACATTAAGTGAAGGAAAGAAACAAGACATATTTGGAAAATGCACTTAATCTGGCAACTATTCTAGCATACTCTGCAACTATATCAGTGCTGTTATGTAGAGTTGTTCCTGCCTGACAAGTTTTTCGTTTGGTAAATAGAAATTCTGGAGAAAGACACGAACTCATTACCTGGAGAGACATAATTAATTTCAATAAGAAATTACTAATTTTTATGTCAATTAATCAAAAGCATCACAAACTGTCTTCATCTCAAACTCTTTTCCTGTTTCACTCCCTTTTTTTGGTGTTTCTGAAGTTCCTGACCCTGTAAGCATCTTAGCCTGGGACTCTCACGTCCCAGCTTGGGGGATGAGGAGGGCAGCCCCATCTTCACTGCCTGTCAGTGAGGCTTGAGGGTGCCCTTCACATTACTGGGGCCCATCAGCATCTCACAAATGGGGCACAGCCAAGGTCTCCCTCACCTTCCCCTCCCCGCTGTAAGCCAGGAGGAGCCCCACAGCAGGCAACGCAGGCTAACCTAGAGAAGCATCACATCCATCATTCCTTCCGCTCCCTGTCCCTTTTGGGAATACAGCCACTTACACACCCATGGCAACTGTCAGCTGTTGGAAAGTTGCTTTTGTTTACACTCGCCGAAGGTCTACCCCTTATCATGTCAGCATTGTGCAGATTTTTGACTCAGTGAGATGCTAAACCTACCCCCAGCTCCCGCTCTTCACCTCTTGATCTTCTCACAGGCTGGGGGCTCGCATTCTTGAGCATAACAGTGGAATAAACTGTTTCTGGAGCATTACCATCAGTGTTATTTTTCCTTTGCTAGCTGAATTAATATTCTCTTTTATACTAAAAACATTCATTTGCAGAAATAAACATTGCATACAATTCATTTATCACTGAATCGCAGGAATGAGAGGTAAAAAGGCCTGTTAGCTTATCTAGTCCATGCAGGTACAGCCTTTCTCCCTGTAGTATGATTTCAAATGCATGTCCTCTCTCATTTCAAATTAATGTTTTCCTCTGTTTCTCTTGGGGTTAGAGACATGTCAAAATGCAGAAATAGATGCTCCAGAAAAGAGATTATCCGGGATTTAAAAATTGTGAATACGATTTGACCACCTTGGCCAATAAGTCAGCACTGTATCAGTGCTGACAGTAATACCTAACGTCTTTTTATTTGTTTGACGTGGATTGAAGTCAGTCATTGGTATTGAGTCAGGATAGGAAAATAGATACAGAAATTATAAAATTTTGAGCAAAACGGTTGAATTCAAAGGAATTATTAGTATCCTATTTGTTATTTTGTATAGAAAATTTACAGGTTTTATAGCTTTACTGAGTAATAAGACAGTACCATGCGTCGATTGCAGAATGGCTGTATATTTTACAAAAATGATATGGTCCAAGTTCATTAAGTGGTATTCTTTTTTTTTTATCCAGGCAGTAGAACACCTCACACATGTTATTTGAACTAACATTAAACACAGGCAAGGAATTCACTATTAATGACTACAGTCATTATGTTGATATCTCCTAGCACTGAAGATTAAATGGTGTTTTTTTGGCAAGGAGAACAGTGAGCCAGAACTTCAGCAGAGTTGGCAATGATTTACAGGAAGGTTGCCCTAAGTTCCACCCGGTTTCGATACTTCTCTCCCTTGGCTCTGCATGGCCACATTTGGGTCAGACTGGATTGTAGCCTCCCCAACAGGCAAGGCACAGGAGCTGAAACAGACATAAAAGAAGAGAGCAAGTAATTTTCCCGATGTTGTGGAAAAAGTTAGTCGAGGAACCAGGTCTTTATTGGGCATTCATCGATTTAGTCATATTTGTCTCTATATGTTGCAGAGCACATCAGAGGCTGAAGTAACTGGCTCTGCCAGCTAACAGAGGATTAATTGATTCATTTTAGGCTGCTCATTTAGGACACAGTTTAGAGGTCTTTTCCACACTTTTCCAGTAGCATGAAGAGAAAGCATGTTTCGGGCTGTAGCCCACATCTTTAGGTCTCACACTCCAAAGTAAAGGTCAGCATATTGGTAAGCTGAATCCCACTACTTGTCCCATTACAGGAGCAACAGTGACAAGAGACCAAAAATGACCCACTATTAGGCTTCTCTGAGAGTACACAGTCTTTGATCTTAGCTATTGAAAGGGTAAATATGGAGTCTACAAGGAATGAGAGCAGCGTTAAAAGCTAAATAAAGAGAAAACAGCAGTTAAGAGTTCCACAGGTTCTGACAGACTCTGCAGTTCTCTGCTCTCTGAAGTCTGCCTGAAGCACTGCTTCTGCCATAGTCTCTGTTCCTGTTTTGCTGATTCATTTCGTGCATTCAGACTGTGATGCTTCTGGAAATGACATCAGTTACCTCAAAAATGGTGTTGACTGATACACTTCAGAGATGGCTGCATCTACTGTTTTCTTTCTAGAGTACTTGATTTTATTTAATTAACAATGAAAAGCCTGTGAAGGACTATTTTTGTTAAATCTCTCCAGGGCTGGAACCTTGCAAAGAGAATCTAGCAATGTCTATTCACTTGATATGTTGTGTAGTGCCTGGAAGCAGAGGCTTAGCCTGTCTTCATGCTCCAGCTCTGTCCCTTTATTGCAAACAGCTGGTGAAATTCCATCACTAGCTTGATGAGACAATTACTTTAAAGTGAACACTGAGAAAATACTTTCCTGTAGCTAAGCTCAAAAAGTCAAAACAAACTTTGCCCCACTTGACAAGTGCGGGAGTCTGTTGTTGTCAATTATAGTTGACCACAAGTTTAAAATTACTCTTTCCAGTAAACATAAACAGTATTTAATTTCATTTTATTGATTGAAAAATCCACTTAAAACATCATTGTGTTATGAATATTTGGGGAAAGTAAATGGTTACTGAGATATTTCCAGCTTGATCATAAATGATTTCAATTAGACTTCATGAAGCAAATTGGAAATGTAGAATCTATGTTCATTTACGGAATACTATATCCTTTGCAAAGTGTCCTAAAATTGACTTCTCTCTTTAATGCATTAAATTATCCCTAATTGCACATTTGACCAAAGGAGTAAGCTTCTTGTAGTCAATTGTTGACGTAAAGTGCATTTGCTTTGCAAAACAGTAGATTGATCAAGGCAAACATTAGTATTTCAAGCTAAACTGTGTATATAATACTGTCATCATGAGTTAGGAATTAGAGTCAAATGTAATACTGTTAGAATGCCTGAGATCAAGAATTACTGCTGCTGCTGGCATTATTTTTGAGTGTGCTTAGCTTCTTATGGTAATACAGTTTGCAGTCAAAAGTAATTAGTCAAGAGATTGATTTCAAGCGTTAGTATTCTGCTGACTTTCCATGGCTGTATCTCTACTGGGATAGGAACACACTTTCTCCTACCTCTGTCAATGACCATTTTGACTACATCTTCAATATGAATTTCGGAGGAAACAAGCACTATGTTCTTTGTTAAAATTTAAAAGTGTCGCTCTTTATTCTTCTCTTAGTATGCCAGAGAGGAAGGAGCTCCCTCTTTCTAAACATGACAATGCCAAGGCTCTGTTCAGCATTCCCTTTCTTGGCGTCTCATGGTTAATAAACCATGCATGCTTAATGTCCCAGTTCCTGCTGTGGTCTTCTGTGTACATTTTTATGCCAGGTTTTCTGTAGACTTGTCATTACCCCTGAAAATAAGACTGGTCTCTGACAATTTATTTGGCAAACCTTCAGGATAATCTATTGTGCTGACTTCAGATGAGATAGATAGAGTTAATTTCCTTCACAGTAGCTGCTGTATTTTGGATTTATTATGAGAATGATATTGATAATGCACTGATGTTTTCAGTTGTTCCTAAGAAATCAAGGAGTTTTTCTAGTTTCTCATGTTCGGCTGATGAAGGAGGGAGCATAGCCAGGCATTTAGCTCAAGCTGGCCAGTGGAAATATTCCATACCATAAACATCATGCTTGGTATATAAATGCAGATTGGCTGGGGGGCAGGAACTTTTCTGTGAGTTTGTAAAGTTCTGTATGTTCAGCAAGCTCCGTGAAATCTGTGAGTTCCAAAATCACTGCTCAGGGACTGGCTGTGCAATCAGTTGTCTGGTGGTGAGAAAAATTGTATTTGTATTGTTTATTTTTCATATTCTTATACTATTATGAGTATAATAATAATAATAATTATTATTATTATTATTATTCCTTCCTTTGTTGTCTTATTAAACTGTCTTTATCTCAGACCACAAGTTTTACTTTTTGCCCATTCTACTCCCCATCCCATTGGAAAGTGGGGACGAGCGAGTGAGTGGCTGTGTGGCACTAGTTGCTGGCTGCCAGGTTAAGCTCCAACATCTGATTTATGTTTTTGCAGTGTGCCAGCAAGGTGAATGGTGGTCTGTACACTACCACTAAAGACTATCCTGATGAAGCTGTCCATTTTGCAAGGAGTCACCCGCTGATGTATCAGCCCATCAAGCCCGTTCATAAGAGACCAGTGCTAGTTAAAACAGACGGAAAGTACAATCTTAAACAAATAGCAGTGGACAGAGTGGAAGCTGAAGATGGGCAATATGATGTCTTGTTCATTGGCACAGGTAAATTAAAGAAAGTAAAGAAGACAATTAATTTAATGTACATTTTTTTAACCTCCAGGATAAATGAAATTGTTATGTACAGTCCAAAACCAAAAAATCGATACAACATTACTTTTTAACTATCATTCTTCATGTGACTGTGCCAGTCTTCACCCTACAGAGGAGGTTAGTCATTCTAGACATGTGCTTCAGTGTGCTAATAACATCATTGAGAAGAATAATGGTAGGAAAACATTTAAAGACTAGGAAGAGAAACTTCAGTAGAGGATTCCATTTTATTACTTTTTCTTTCCAAACAAGAACCTTAAATTAAATTCCTGAACAACTAGCTTTATTTTTAAAACTTCAGAACCTCTGAGCAGAGTTCTGAGCTGAGACCTAGAAACCTGAGAGAAACAAAGGTGACCTGATTTTCAAAAAAACATCAGTTAAAGTTATTAGCTTTACTCCACCCTTTATTTTCTCCAATTCTGGAGACAACGAGTCTAGCTGATACCTTTAAAAAGAGACTGCCAGCTTCCAAATTTGGGTTATAGCACAGCTCAAGAAAGAAAGGAGGAATCACAAAAATTTCTTAAAAAGAAAATGTTAGTTTTCTGCCAAATTTTCTTGTTCTTCTTTTGTGCTGTTTTCATAAGATATCGAGAGCTTTTTTAAAGACAATTTTTAAACAGCTACCAAACAAATATGATTAAGGTGAAATATGTCATGGATCTGCTTTAACTCTAGGCAACCAGAGAAAAAAGCACATTCTAGTGGTATTTGAAAAAGAAGAAAACTTAAGAAAATAAGAGGAAAGCCTGGAACTAGACAAGACTTTAGTCACATCTAATCTGTCCGAAAAAAATCGAAAGATTCATACATTCACATTTTATCAGTTTAAAAATGACTAGTATCACAAATAATTTTGACAACTTTGTCCAGGAAAGCAGTTACAGTGAATTATTTTTCACTAATGAAGTTCCTCTAATAAGCACATTGCAGTGTTGAGAACTTCAAAAGAAACGTGTTTGTAGAATAACAAAGATTTATTTACATCAGTGTTGTTTTCCAAGCTTTTACACGGCCTGAGTATGATCTTGGTATTAGACTTAGTGTGGGCTACAAAACACTATGCCATGTGTCACTTATTTCTGTACAGCAGATTTTATAACAGTATCTACATTTTTCATATTTTCCACTTGCATTTGTGATTGAGATATTTTATCAAATACTTGTTCACAAGTCCACTGTTCAGCAAAGTCGAATCCAAGGGGACTTGAGCATGTGCTTTAGAGCTGTGGTGAACTGGCACCCAACAGTTGCTTAGTCTTCTTGAGATCTCTAAACTTACGTGACAGGAAATTCCATCATAGCAATTTAGGCTTTAGAAACTCTGAAACGAACCCTGCAACCTCTACTCTGGCAAAGCTCCCATCAAAAAGCTCACTGCTTCTCTTGGCAATATAGTGTTAGAAAGGGTTAATTTTTTTTCATCTGAGCCCAACACCTGCTGTGTAACTTACGTAAACAGGGTCTTACTGCTGAGCAGAAGTTTCCTTAGGGTAGCAGTGCAGGTTAGAATTCATCAAAGGCAAAGTCTGAACATCAGGGTCAACTTTCACATGTCTGTCAGTAGGATTCGAAGAGGGACTTACGAAATCAGAGCTCAGAACGCAATTTCTTTTTACTGTTCCATCACAAAACGAATGCCTTTGATTACATAGTCTCTCTGAGAAATGGTGTATGACCTCAGTTTAATGGTTCCTCTTTATGTTTGCCCCTTTGATCTTCAGCTGAGCATGTTTCCCAATGCTTGTCTGCTTAATATTTCCCCTGTAAATCAAAGGTGGCTGAAAGTAACAGAAGAAAGGAAGTGATATTTGCCATTGTTGATGACAGACTTTCAGATTAGGGAAAGCGAGACTATTCTAATAACAGTCAGCACGACAAGGCTGAAGTGGTGGAAGACCAGATGCTATTTATGTGTTTTAATTTCCTGCAAAAGTTGTAGCGACAGAGAAGTTGACAAACCTGAACTCCAATGTGCCTTAGACTTTTTGAATGTGCAACTTTTTTTTTGGTTCATCTTCCTTTGATTTACACCTTCAGCTCCACAGCACCTCAGTGTTTCCCTGCAGGAGGGCCCTAACTTCAGACACTGAACCCCTGAAGGTTTTTGTACCCTTGCCTGGACGAACGGAGCTGCTGCCAGCAATTAAGGATAGTTAATAGTTTCCTAACTAGTGTAAACACTCAGATCCTATAATTAAAGCTACTTTACACTCCCTTACCCTAATGGATTCAGCTCCTGCCTGCCTTTATTTCTTTTTCTGAAATATGGTCACTTCTTTGATTCTTTTGCTGTTCACCAAGGAGTTATGACCCAGAGTTTGAAAAATACTTGTTGATTAATCATATAGCTCAGGGATGTCTCAGCTGACTCTTATTTGCCATGGACAAACTGTCACACGTGTTCATTTTCTAAGAGTAAGAATCCTCATAAATAACAGCAATATGCGACTACCTGTAGTTATTTATAAATTTCTATCCATTATCAGTTTGATGAAGTAATTTAATGTATTTGAGGGCCATATAAACATTTCCACCAATTATAACCAGCAATTTTGTTTTGTTTTTTTCTTTTAAAATTTATTCCCAGATAATGGAATTGTGCTGAAAGTCATTACAATTTACAATCAAGAGACGGAATCAATGGAAGAAGTGATTCTTGAAGAGCTGCAAGTATTCAAGGTGAACTGTGCTGTCTATGAAGCATATATATATGTCTTGTATTTTCTGCAGAATTGAAATGTCTAAAAAATCTGAGGATAATCAAATATATAATAGTGCATGCAAGAAATGTTCTAATGAACAGCTATTTTATGACAGGATATCTTCATTTTCAAGTGAAGTTTTTCTGAGTTGGAGTTATAACTCAGTCACTGAAGTATTGAAGCAAGCCAGGACTACTGTCTTTCAGTTCACATGCTTGGAGGTAGTAGTGTGACTTTTAACTAGAAATGTATCTAATTTTATTTAATTTTCCCTCAAATCCAATTAAGTATACTCTTTTAGAGTATAACTACATGCGCAAAAATGTGCCTACTGCAATCTTGGAAGCTTGAAAGATGTCTGTACAAAAAAAGCCCGATCCTCAGACAGAATAAATCCATTAATCTGTCTTTACAGTGGGACAGCCCGAGTCCTAGTGTGACAAAACTCATTCCTGTTTAAGAATAACTCATGACTAAAGCTCAGTATAAGGTATGTGGCAAAGCTAGGGTAATGAAATTCTCTTAGTGAGTATTCACCTTATGTTGCGTTAGCCACACGAAGTAGCAGACTAAACTACTTGCAACCACAGGGAAAAGCTAACATCCAAACCTAGATATTTAAATTTGGTACCTGCATTTAGGCAGTGTAACTATTGACTTGTTGCCTAGGGGGAAAAGTCACTGAAATTTCCACTCTTGATAATGCTGGTTTTCGATAGACCTATTAGGGATAATGTCTTGCCATTACTCCAGGAAATCTGAGAAGAGGGCAGAGAGGACAATGGTAAAAGAAGAAATTCCTACTCTTTTTATCTTATCTTCAATTAATGTTTTTTTGTAAATAACACTCCACTTATCACTCTCAAGTAGGACAAAAGAGATTTAATGGTGGCAAGAGCTAATGTCATGTTTGACAGGGAAATTGTAGTGTTCCCGTGGCTCTGATAATCCTGAATTGAGTGTTGGCTTGTTGTTTTTAAATAAACTCTTTTAAAGTAATACTTCTGAAAGTCATATTTTCCTCACAACTTTCTGTAGCTTCAGAACTTAAAGAAAGTCGAAGTACCTAGCAAAGTTGAATATAATAACTAAACATGAACACTATGTCACCTAATGTATTTTCATACCAAAAAGATATTCTTTTTTCTAACCAAGGAAATATTTCCTGTTTTCTAGGTACCAGTTCCTATTATTTCTATGGAAATCTCTTCAAAAAGGGTAAGCATTTGACAAGTTTGAAATGTGAAGATTGTGACTCAAATGTCTATAAACTGTACAAAGATAGATAGAGACATGGATAGACAGACAGATGGCTGGATGTACATTGTCTATAATGAGATCTGGTCTGATACATGGAAGTTTTCCTGCTATAAATGTATGGTTATATGGTCTGTTCCTTTATGAAGCATTTATGTTTTTCAATTCTGATGTTAAATCTCCTTAGTTCATGCTATCATTCATATCAAAGCAAGTAAAAACCAATCTGCTTCATGAGTTACTGGCATAGTAATCACAGTAGGGATTACCTTGGTGGATATGGCAACTCACAGAAAAGTTCCTTGCTGATAAAAGCGGACAGACTTCAGCCCTATGGTGATTCAGTGCTCAAAGCCTTGCTGGCTCTCCCACATGTTCAGTTGCACATGAAAGGCAGGGCTGTTTGGATCTGACTCCCTTTCAAGTTTCTGCTAGTTTCTGCTAACATAAACACCCAATTTCTTACTCTTGTAGGTAAATTCTTACCTGTACCGTATCACAGAGATCCATACCATATCACCGTACCATCTCAGGACGGAGCCATTATAAACATCCCTGGATAGATATATCTTAATAGATCTTAGACATCCAATGCAATATATGTTCACATAAACAGTGAAATACAAGTAACAAAGGACAAAAAGTGCACAAATAGGAGATGTGAATGTGCCCCAAAAGATCATTCTAGTCTCGGTGTCCAGTCAACTTGCATTCTTTTTGCAGGTAGTGTAGAAAGACAAACTCCTCTGATGGTGATTCAGAGGAGGATCTTAGATGTAAGTATACTGAACTATTTCCTGGATCAATATATTTTTTTTCCCATGGACTGTGAAAGCAGCTCTGGATTGTCTAACACTGCACGTAAGTGATTATTTGGAGAAAGACTTCAGTGTCTTTTCAGATATTTGCCTTACTTTTACCTCTCCGTGAAACGTGATGGTAAAAGGGTTGTGTAGGAACAGTAGAAGGGAGACAAAATGAAATAGTCTTCTTCCATTACACCCAGCTCCCAGAGGCTGCTAACACTACTAATTCAAGAAGCAACTGGAAAATCTGGAGAGAATTGTAAAAATGCTGCCAAAGCAATCTCGTGGTTGAAGAACAAACCTCCTTGTGTGAAGTAAAAGTACCTTAACTTTTTCAAGAGGTCAGAGAAAAGAGTGAGAGAAAACAGGATAGCCAGATATAAAATTTTACCCTACAAAGTGACTTCCTAGTGTACGTGTATAAGGATTCTTGAAGACTGATGGCAAAGCAATATCAAGATCTAATAACTAAATTATGGAATCATATAAAATCATAGAATGGTTTGGGTTGGAAGTGACCTTAAAGATCACTTAGTTCCACCTCCCCCTATCATGGGCAGGGACACTAAACCAGGTTGCTCAGAGCCCCATCTAACCTGGCCTTGAACACTTCCAGGGAGGGGGCATCCACAAATTTCAGCTTGTTGAATGTAGATAAACTTAATCTTGAAATAGCATGCACTTTTCTGACACTGAGGACAATTAAATGCTGGAATACATGATAGGGACAAGGCTGGCACCAAGTCATTTTGTCTTTAAAACAAGATCTGCAAGCAGAAGTATAACTTAGATGTGTTTAAGTGAAAAAAGTTACTTAGCTTCTCTGCTCGAGCATTTTGGCTGGTCCCTTTTGACCTTGGAGTTTGTGAGCCTGTGGAGATCTTCTTGCTAGCTTTATCTCAATATCATTATAACACTAACCAGTCTTCATTAAGTCAGTGGTAAAATAAAATATCATGCTTCAGGTCTGAGCTAGTTATCTGTAAAGGCTAAGAAGGAATGTTATTCTTTGATGTTTGGTTGGCTAGATATCGGCTGCTTTTTGCCCTCCTCTGATGAACCAAGACAAAGTTGTCTTTACCCCTGCTAGAAGATGAAAGAGAAAAATCCTATCTTGTATGTCTCAGTGAAAGTGTTGTTCATGTCTTCTGCAGCCTTTGCAGACAAGAAAGAATTCCCCTTGAACAAGGATCCTAGGTTTCTTCTTCATTCCCTTTGGCAGATAGAGTTCCTACTACTATCATCTCATTTATCTCAGCCGAAAAAGTCTTCAAGCATTGCTGTTACCAGCCTGTCTCTTCAAGCGTTGCTGTTACCAGCCTGTCTTAGTCTTTTCTCCTAGCATTTTTAAGAGTAATATTTCTGTGACCTAAACAGATATAGGAGGTGTAATGAAGAATAAAATGAACTATCCGGATTAAATTTTGTGTTTTGTGATAGGCAAGCCAGACTAAATGAGCTGCCTATATTTTCCAGCTTGAAGAATAATAAAGTACTAGATAGAGAAAGCTTGGTCCAAAAGTGGGAATTATGGACTAAGTTTGGCCATTAGGGTAAGCGTAGTTTAAGTGTTTATTAGGAAACCTTTTCTTGACTGGTAAAACCACGGAAGTGAGCCATGCATAAGCAGTTCTAATTGCAGTGCACATTGCATATTTCTGTGTTCACTCTATTTGCATTTACCAGAAACAGGATTTTTTTATCAAAACCCTGTAAATTCAAGCTATTTTCTTCACAATTTATTATGCCAATAACTCATGAATCAGATTGATCATCTTTCATTTTATTTGAAAAGGACATTTATGTGAAGTTAGAAGATTCAAACAGTCTTAGCACTAATGCTGAAAAAACGCAAACCCTACAAATAGTTATTGAAGAAGTAGATTGTGACTGGTTAACTTTTACGGAATGACTGCACAGTACCACGGAGAAAAAAATCTGTATCTCTTGTGCGCCGAGGGATTCCACAAATCATAGTACTCCTATGCATGTGTATATGTGACCATATTGTAAGTAACCACATCAGGAGTTAAGTTTACTTGATAACTCCCATTTTAAAATTGAGGTTGCTTATAACATTTGCAAATGTGAACTGCTTTTTTTAAAGTCTTTCATGTCAAGGTTTTTTCCAGATTGGTTAGGTGACAGAGAATTGTAAAGAGGGAGGCATTGGAAACTGTCTTGAGCGAGAAAAAGAAATGTAAACCCCTGCCTATTCAAACACAAAGCTCACAAAGCTGAAACTTCAAAAGTGAGGAAATGCCAGAATAAACTTGTTCATTTCACCTTCCTTCTGCTCCTCTGTTCTCATGCCAGAGAGTTTAGCCTGTAATCAGATATTTTTCTACAGAGTAACTCTGCCTCCCTCAGGGCACAGGCTGGATTCACAACTGGCAAGCAACGACACAGTTAATATTTTTTAGTAACTCCATTGGTAGCAGAAGTTTTAGTGGAAGTTCTAGGCTTTTAATCATACACGGTGTATTTTTTCCAGCAACAGCTCTACGTTGGATCTGAGTCGGTCATAGCGCAAGTGAAGTTCCACCAGTGTGACATGTATGGAACGGCCTGTGCGGACTGCTGCCTTGCTCGAGATCCATACTGCGCTTGGGATGGCATCTCCTGCTCCCGATACTATCCCACAGGAATGCAGGCAAAGAGGTGAGAACTGCTGCTTTCTGTAATATCTTTTTTGCAAAATACCTACATAAAGAGACCCTACTGCAACACAAAGTACTTCGTATCTCCCCCTCATAAAAATAACCAAGCAGTGACAAGATACGTTGCCTGCTAATTTATTAGCACATCCTTAGAGGATTGTAAAGGACTCTAATTAATAGGATGGTATAAACTGCAGTACCAGGAATATTGTTATGAAAGAAGAAAAGTAATTAATTGCAGTAAGTATTAAATAAACCTCAATTTCCTTATTCTTCTTTTGGTGCACAAAGGAAAGTTTCTTCACAACAGTGAAGACCTAAATTGGAAGTCTTCTACAGCGAATATATCACACTACAATAACATATAGAATAGAATTTCAAAAAAAAAACCAAAGAATCTGTGTTAATAGTCAAATGCCTTCACCAGCCAGAACGAAACCAGAGTATCTGCAAAAGCTAAGTTTAGGCTTAGGCTTTCTCCAGTGAATTTATAAGGACAAGTTACTCTAAAGGCCAGTTCAAAGCACAAACCTAATCTGGGTGCTGTAATTCTTCTGTTGGGGAGACTTCTCCTCTCCGTCATTGTTCACTTGTTTATGGCTCTTGGCCTTCACTTTTAGGTGCAGTAATTTCACACACATCTATTCTCTTCCCTTCCCTCTCAAAACTAATTTCTCCAGTTCAGCTACACAGATACTAGAAAGTGCATATTTTAATCCAGACCTTTCACTAGACTTGAAGTTAGCTTTGCCATTAAAAAGAGTAATTGCTAGCCTTAGTCAGCCAAATTTTGGTAATGTATAATTAAAATCCTTTCTGTGGCTTTTTTGCATTTACTGTTTCTGCTTGTATATATGAGACCTACATGGACTGCAAGGATTAGAATGAATTGAGTAACTTCTGGAGGCAATTTTGTAAGCCAGTGGAGATGGTTCAGTCAAAACCAATTCATAACATCCCAAATTTATGATTGTTGCTTAAGGATAACCAGGAAAAGGCAGGGGAGGGTAATTTATTTAATTTTTTGTCCTGAACCCCTTTCCATGAACCTGAATGCACTCATACAAAAGCACTGCTGACTATAGCCAGGCACAACCAGCATTTCTGTGGATTTTTCTGAAAGATAACCAATGCAGCCATGTTACATAGGGTAACATGACTTTTTGAGTAAGGCACATTAAAACACAAAAATGAGGAATACAGCCAATGACTCAGCATAATCAACAGTCTCTTGAACTTATTACACTAAGGCACAGGTTAAATCAAGTAGGAAATCAACATGACTTTTACAAGCAGGATTGCACAGTCTTCGCATACCTCTTGCAAGCAGATCTAAGAGAGCAAGTGGGCTCTGGTTGTCTCGTCAATTTGAGAAGAATCCGGCTGAAATTTTCAGGTCCCAGATTAAGAAATATAAGCAGCTATATATTGGGCCAGGGAGATTAATTTCCTACAGTACATGTAGAAATTGGATTACTATAATTATAAAGCATATGAGTTACTCATCTAATGATGTAAAAGTCACTAGGGGAAGGAAGGGAGGTTAAAAAATTTCCCAGCAGTCTACTTGGCCTGTATCAGCATTTATGTTGATCTGTAGGCTACTTATTGTCTAAGAAAAGATAAGAGAAACTCACTCAGTCCCGAGCTCTGCTGTACATTTTTAGCACATTTTCTCACCTAAGACAATTCCCAGAGTAACAGCCCTTAAGTCCTTTGACACATGCATTTATCCAGGGTTGAGTGATATGGGCAGCACCCCAGGCACCTTCCTGTGCCTTACCTCCCCAGCAATCAGCAGGTCAGTCTCTAAAAGAAGAAAATACTGCTGTTATCACCCCCCTTCTCTTCAGATAAGCACTGCATCGGTGGAGAAGGGATTTGCACTCAATTGAATGTTCTTGAAGTCTGAAAAACTTGTTTTAAGTATAAAACTTTGGGGAACAGCCAGCAAGGACTAGTGATGTTGAGAGAGATGGATGGTATTTGCTTTGTTCATTTTAGCTCATAGCTGAAACTCAGAGTAATTTAAACTTATGAGTTTACACTAACTGTGTGGTACATGGAGAGACAGGGAGAGCCACTTAGGACATGTGTATGGAAGCTGGTTTAAGTTGCCTCTTTCTGCGTTCTGGGTGGAGGGCACTGCTGTAAAAGGCAGGTCTCAGTAATGAACATGGAGTTTTCTGATACCAAGCATCCCTGAGCAGGCGATAATCCTGCCATGGCTGCCTTGGGCTGCAGACACAATTAACACCACTTCCCAGAGCATACACATCTTAATTTTGCCTTGTTTCAGGACTCCAGTTTTCTGCTCAAGCTGTACAGGGTAGTACAAATAATGTGAGTGCAAGGGGCATTGGAAAGCATTTGTTCACCCCTTTCCTGGCAGCCCTCGCGTCATCAGGATTTAGGGAGCTGTGCCTTACATAGCGCATTTGGCTTTAATACCACCTCTGTGTGCTCAGATGTGGCCCTCATGCAGTGCATTTAGGTGGGCTTTTGGTTTGTAAGAGTACCCCTGCTAGTGCAGCAAGAGGACTGCTAAGAGCTTTCTTTTTAATTCCAGTTCTACTAGTAAAGAGTTGAACCGAAGCAGGGATGTATAATGTGTCCTCCCCATTTGATACAAATGCTCTCTGCTTTAGACCCTAATGTCTCCCAGGTATGGCAAGTGTTTAGACAAACATGAAATAGAAAAACTGTAAAGTCAGGCATGTACAGGATATAAAGAAAACAGCAGCATAAATATAAAAAAGCCTCTGCTTGACAGCTGGTACTAATTAATTCAATTTTGAAAGCCTGTATTATAATTCCTTGTAAATGCATAGCCTGGATAATGAATTAGATATGGAATTTGATTAGGGACAAATAAAAATTGAGCCCAAAATGCCGCATCTTTGTACGGTAGTGCAGCATACTACATTGCCATGGTAGTTACAGGTGTATGGTTCCTGCATACTGCAAACACTTAAGATGCCAGAAGGAAATTATATTGCATTCAACTTCCATGAAGCACGCTTGAGAAAGCAGAGAGGTCCAGGACTTAAAACTATGCTTTAGACCACTGTTACCTCTGCAATCTGATTTAGTGAGTTTAATCTTTATGCAAACAAGCACTAAATTCTACAAGTGAGATTCTTTGCTGTGCCAGCTCAACTTCCTGTCTGAAAAAGGGCCGAAGTAATTTTAAAATGTCATTCAGCTTGGGTAGGTCTGTTAACCTGTGATTCAGTAGCTAATTTTAAGAAGCTGACAGTCACCCTCCTGCCTGCTCTCCCTCTCTGGCCTCTGTCTCCACCGCCCACTCCACCAGCAAACACACAAATACACGTTTCATCTCTTGTGGTTAGCAAGGGAGCTCCAAACAGGTGGGTTTTTTCCCAAATCTAGGGGTTTCCTCCCCCCAAGCCTCCTGGCCCTGTTTGTTGCCTGCCCGCGACAGGGTGCCCAGGCTGGAGGGGGGAGGCGGCGCTGCACTGATGGTGGGGGGCGGTTAAGCGGCTGCCTTCCCCTCGCAGCTAAATCTCAGTACTAACCCAAGCGTCACTCTGCTGTAACATTTGGTTCAGCAAACACAAACTCAGCCTATTGATATAACTATGTAAACCACATCGATGCCTTTTCTCCCTGAGCCATTGTGACTTCGTCTCATCTATCCCTGGGAAATAATAAAGAAACATGAGGATGATGGTGATGATGATGATGATGACAAATATATTGCTTTCTTGCTGAACATTTTTACTAAGTTCCTGAAAGCACAGAGTCACAGACTGAAACCTAAATTCGTGAAGTTATAGATTACAAAAGACACTTCCATATACTCAATAGTATATTTGCTAGTCACTGACAGTTATTCGTTATAGTAGTTTATGTCAGGATTGTCTGGTACTCTATTATTCATGGAATTCTGAATGAAATATTTATTAAGAAAAAATAACAAATACCAGGATTATGTCAGTATTTGTGAAATCAGTTTATCTCCCAGCAACTCCCTCTCTTTCAGCACCTCTCCTCATTTTTTCCTTTTCTTCAAAAAAGCAGCAAGCAAAGGCACTGGTAGAAGTATCTTGCCCAGTGTTCACACTCACAACAGCAAAATTCCATACAACAAACATTTCTTTTTTTGTGAATGGCTCTAACTACTGGAGTACTCTGTCCAGTTCTGGGATCCCCAGTTCAAGAAAGATGAAGAGCTACTGGAGAGAGTCCAGCGGAGGGCTAGAAGGATGGTGAGGGGACTGGAACATCTCCCCTGTGAGGAGAGGCTGAGGGAGCTGGGCTTGTTCAGCCTGAAGAAGAGAAGGCTGAGAGGGGACCTAATATATGCTTACAAATATCTGAAGTGTGGGTGTCAGGAGGATGGGGCCAAGCTCTTTTCGGTGGTGCCCAGTGACAGGACAAGGGGCAATGGGCACAAACTGAGGCACAGAAAGTTCCGTTAGGTGACCCTGCTTCAGCGGGGGGGTTGGACTAGATGACCCACAGAGGTCCCTTCCAACCCCTACCACTCTGTGATTCTGTGAAATATCCTATCTTAAGGACTAGGGTTTTTTTAGCTCTACAATGATCTTTGGGAACTGAGTAGTAAATACTACATGCCTGCTAACAGTCCTGGTCCTGCTCCTGCTAGATAGGGCTGCTGGGCCTGACAGCAGTGGGGTTTTCTTGTTTGTTTTTTCAAGGCTAATATTTATAGTATTTGTGTATGTTTCTGCAAAAGAATGTCCCTTCTGAATAATCTGTATACACACACATGCAAAGTTGGTGGCAGCATTATTCAGCACTGACACTCTGCAGAGTTATCAGTAAGCAAAGCTACAGCATCCGTGCATTACAATGAGAACTCCCAGGGCATGATAAAGCCCTGTTGCTATCTCAGAATCTCAGTTTCCATTTAATAACACTAATGTGTTTTTGGCTCTTCGATCTAAGAAGCTCAACACACTCCTCACTGAATTTGCAGATTCTCCTGAAAAAACAATGGCAAAACATTGGCTCTGCTACTCAGAGTATCAGTAAAGTTGAAAGCTGGTACACCAGCCCCACTGGATCAGAAGTCCATACAGGTGGCAGAACTCGGAAAACAATCACTGTCTACTGCCAGTTTAGAAATATGATGGGTAACATCCACAGGCAAGATCTTTAGTATAAATCTACACAGTTTTTTGTAAATTCAGTTTGTGTCAAAGATTCTGCCTTTTGTGTTCCCATCATGTTGGAGAAAAGCATTATTGAAGTAATAATTCAAAGAATAACAAAACTGCTTGTCTTTGCTTTTTTCTGTCATATATGATTTATACTGTACACATACCTGCTGTGTAAAATTTGCTGCATTGCATATTTTTGTTAATTTGTTATGTATGACTTTGATAATAGTGTATAGAATTGTTCGTTATGCAAATATAGGAAAGGTATCCTTAGTATAACTAGACATCAGGTTGCTGGAAATACTACATCTGGCAAGATATGGCATTCCAACAGGCTTTTTCGTTTCCATAGTAAGCAATCTTAATTTTATTTATCAGGACACTCAGAGAAAAAAATTATCATGTAAAAGCACAGTTCCTCTGGGAATGCACTGTACAACTACAGTTTTCATTGTTTTTCTGTAACTGTCTACAAAATCCCCAAAGCCCAAAACTCACAACAATTTTTCTCTTAAAAGCAATTGCATTATTTCCAGGTTGCAGCCAGGGCTGCCAGGTTCTCACCACAGCTCTGCCACCAGCTCAATTTCTAAGCATAGGGAAGTCATGAATGTGTTTATTTCCCTATGAAGAAAAATGATCTTAATAACTATCTGCTACACAGATGTAATAAAATAAAGTATTTGCTCTGCACTTTGAGATTCCCAAGTGGAAAAAAAGAACAAGAAAGCAAAGTATAACATGAAAACTACTATTCACATACGTGGCAAACTGTTCTAACCTAAAAAAGGAAAATTTCCTTGGCTTCCAGAGAGATAGAACCCAATGACAGGCTGAAGGTCCCTTTGATTCTTCCTAGCACTGAGTGCTGCCTAGTTGGTTCACAGGATCTAGTTTTGCTGTCTGTAACATCAGTGTAGTTATGTAGAAAATGGACATGTAGTTGTGCCTCTTCCCCAGACAAGTCTGTTTCTTTTTTTCAAACATGTGATTCCCAATAGGTTGAGTGGGAGAGAATACCAATGCATAAAGGAGTACTTCTCACAACAATGCTAAATTTTTAGGAATCAAGATATAGCTCCTTATGTATTTAATGAATGCCACTTCAGCATAAACTCAACAATCTAAATATGTTATCTCAAACAATTCCATTTTTTCCCTTCCAGACGTTTCCGCAGACAAGATGTTCGACACGGAAATGCAGCGCAGCAGTGCTTTGGCCAACAGTTCATTGGTAATCTACTCACATTTATAAATTGCTAGTAAATGCCTCGAGCAGAGAGCACAGATTTTGCCAAGAGTATGAGCCAGACCACGCTTTCACCTGAGGTTTTTTACTGGCATATTCCTATAATAAGTTATAAGAGTCATGGGGATGAACTTATGTCATTCAGATCTAAAAATGACTTTGTTTTGACCACAGGTCACGTGCATCCCATAGTCCTCCTGTAGTACTGCAGCCCTGTCATTTATATCAGGGATGTGGCTAATGCATCTCAAGGGTTTCCAGCAGAAATGCAGGTGGGAAAATGGGACAGGGATAGGAAGCAACAGGGCTGCATCCTGAAATACATATGAAATACTGCCAGGACACTCAGCCAGAAGTGGGAATTGAAGGAGCTCCCCAGCGCGGACATGGGCAATGACATGTCAGAATACAAATGTGTATTTATGATCATTATCAAGATTTGTCCTAAAAAATGATACATTACTGTGTCTAATGCTGTTGTCTAAACCTTGGAAAGTGATGATTTCAAACATTGATATTTGGAATGGCAAAACAGACAGCAAACAGTTGCCTGAACAACTTCAGTATTTTGCAGGATAACACCCAATGCACTTATAGAATTAAAAATGTAATATAAAAGGTTCTTTAATGTAGATAGACAGAGAAAATATATTTTAGATATTAAGCATTAGATATTTAACCAGAGAAATCTTCATTAAAATTTGAGTCTATTGGAGTGTATAGTAGATTTTGGAAAATTATATTCCAATATGAAATATTAATTATAGAGTAAATTTGCAATACAACAGATAAATCACAATGATATAAACCACGGTATTTCTAGGGTATAAAACTGATTGGTATCAAGAATATTTCTCACTACTGTAGAGTAGGATGATTTAGTTAATGAGGCAATTGTTCTCCTCCAGTGTAACATCTAGCTTACCTTCCTCCAGAAGTTTTGTTGGATGGAAAAGCAGAATTGAGTTTTGATTAATTTCATTCACCTTGTTTTTATTATCACCCTTGGGCTGAAATTGTATATTCATTTTACATATGTATGACATGGAGATGCATAATATTGGTTAGGGTATTTATAGTTTTTAAGAGTTTCACTCTGCTAAAGGCTATGTGTTCTCATTCTTATCCCTAAAAATATATCATTATTTATTATATTTAAGCATGTATTGAATCCTCCTGTTTCACTGACTGAAAATGAAATAAATTAACTATTCATAAGAACTAGGCACAAACAATTAGAAGTGTGAAAGGCTGAGATCTGTTTATCTGTGAGTAATCTTAACTGAATCCTGGCAAAATCTGATACATTTAACTTCTGGTCAGATACTGTGAGAGTCTGAGATGATGGGAAAATTCACTTAGTGGGTCAGGCCTTCACCAGGCACTACTTTTCAGTCACTATCTGATCGGATCTGAACTATCTCACTCTTCAAAGTAAATACACTGATTATAATTGGCACTAACACATATTTTTAAAACATTTATTTTCCTTCCAGGCGAAGTCCTGGAGAAGACTGAGGAACGATTTGTTTATGGAATAGAGTACAACAGCACCCTTCTGGAGTGCACCCCTCGGACCTTACAAGCAAAAGTAATCTGGTTTGTCCAGCGAGCACATGAAACTAAGAAGGAAGAGGTAAATATTCTTATAGCCTAATCCTTTAACTAAGAGAACTCATGGTTAGGAACATTATATCTTCACTGAAAGGCTTGTCATCTGTTGCTGAAATGTATGTGGAAGTAAGGGAAAATAATTATGTTCATCTGCTCTCTTGAATTAATAGACCTGAGAGTTTCATATGGTGTTTGCGTTCAGCATCTTGAACGCAGATGTTAGAAATGTAGTGAAGCTTGAATTAAGTTCTCAAAACAAAAGAGAATCCACCACTTCTCTAGGTGTGTTATTGCAGAGGTGAATTGTGTACATATTACTCCCGATGTTAGTCTAGCTTCACATCTATTCATACTTGCTGCCTCAGCCATTCTACTACAAAACTTTCTGAAAATGGCGGTTGGTTGATTCTCTGCCTCTTTCACATCTATTTCCTTATTATGAAAGTGCTTCATAAGTTATTGTATTTATTCCTCAATACCTCTCTGATACACAGTTGCATAACTGTCCCCACTTAGTATGTGGAAGGACATAGGGAGAAAAGCCTCAGACCACAAAAGGATAAGGATGATTGCCTTCTACCTAGCAGCTAGGCTCTACTGTAAATGTGAAACCCTAGCTTAGCCATAGATATCTGCAGATCTCTGGAGTAGGACTCATCTGATACTAAATGTGGACATTTATGATAGAGATCTATGCAGCGGCCAGTCAATGTAGGCTACCTTTGGAATCAAACTAGCTAGTGTTGCAGTGGTATCAGATTACGCTAAGCTAGATAGCTTCATTTGGTCATGGGCAGAGACATCTTTCACTAGACCAGGTTGCTCTAAGCCCTCTTCAGCCTGGCCTTGAATGTTGCCAGGAGTGGGGCATTTACTGCCTTTTTGGGCAACCTGATGTGGGGTCTCAGCACCTTCATCGTAAAAATATTCTTCTTTATGTCCAATCTACATCTACATTCTTTCAGATTAAAATCATTACTCTTTGTCCTACCACTACAGGGTCTGGTAAAAAGTCTCTGTCTTTTTTATAAGTCCCCTTTAAGTCCTGAAAGGTCACAATAAGGTGTCCCTGGAGCCTTCTCTTCTCCAGGCTGAAAAACTCCAGCTCTTTCAGCCTTTCCTCATAGGACGGGTGCTCCAGCCCCCTGACCATTTCTGTGGGCTTTTCTGGACCTGCTCCACCAGGTCCATGTCTTTCCACAGCTGAGAGCTCCAGAGCTGGATGCGGGACTCCAGATGAGGTCTCACCAGAGCAGAGCAGAGGGACAGAATCACCTCCCTCAAGCCTTTGGCCACACTTCTCTTGATGCAGCCCAGGCTACAGTTGGCCTTCTGGGTTGTGAGCACACATTGTCGGCTCATCTCCAGGTTTTCATCCACCAGCACCCCCAAGTCCTTCTCAGCAGGGCTGGTCTTCATATATTCTGCAACCAGTACTTCTCTTCTGCTTAATATTCAACATTTTACTGTTAGCTACAAAGATGGGGATTACATTCTCCTGGGCACTTCTCCTGGATGGATTAGACAGGTCTGTGCTCCCTGCTTGTTAGCATCTGCAAATGCCTCATACTGAAGAACCTAGCTCTCAGGAGATGTAAGGGGAACTCAGGCACCAAACTCAGAACTAAGGCTTTCAGATCACAATGGCCCTAAAGTTAGATATACATATATCTGTGAGTGTTCCCTCAAAAACATTTGTCAATGTGTAAGAGCATTCCCAGGGCCAGTTATTGCAGGTCTGCTGGCAAATGCCCATTTGTTTTCCACCCCGTAGTTTATTTACATGTTTTGACCTTATTTCCCTCTGTGATTTAGCCACAAGTGACTAACCCATGCTGAGAAAACAGGAAACTATCTGGTCTACTGTCTGTTCCACCATGCTTGCCAGATTCTCTAGGCCACTTTCCTTTCACAGCTCAGCCTCTTGTTTATTTCAAGTAAACATTTTTATTACTTATAAACAGAGAATTAACGATAACGGATCTCTAATCTTCCTCTCAAAATTTAATGTTATGTTCACGAAAGAATATTTCAGAAATAATTGCACTGATTTAACGTAATAGTAAAGGCCTGTGTTCTATAACTGCACCTGTTTGCTTTTCAGGTGAAGACAGATGACAGAATAATCAAAATGGACCTTGGCCTCTTATTCCTGAAGCTTCATCGGCTGGATGCAGGGACCTATTTTTGTCAGACAGTGGAACACAGCATTGTTCACACTGTCAGGAAAATCACCCTGGAAATAGTCGAGGAAGAACGTGTAGATGAAATGTTCAACAAAGACTATGAGGAGGAGACACCTCACAAAATGCCATGCCCAATGCAAAGCAGTATACCTCAGGCATCAAAGCCATGGTACAAGGAATTTCTTCAACTAATAGGTTACAGCAACTTCCAGAGGGTGGAAGAATATTGTGAGAAAGTGTGGTGTACAGATAAGAAGAGAAAAAAGCTTAAAATGTCTCCATCCAAGTGGAAATACGCCAACTCTCAGGAGAAGAAGGCAAGGATCAGGCCAGAGCATTACCGGTTGCCCAGGAACATAGCTGACTCTTGATGGACAACAGCGATCCACTATTTCTGGGTGAAATTTTATTTGGACTTAAGTAAGAGGGAGAAAGCAGTCCTGGTTTTGGTAAATGACACAGGTTTACATATATAAAATATTGAGACTGAAAACAAAAAAGCTATGGTAAGTTATACCATACACTCATGATGACTGTTTTGAAGCATTTTAAACAAAATCTTCTTAACTATCTGATTCTAAGTAAGTCAATGCAATCAGAGTTTTGCATTAGGGAGGACGTGACAATCTTCAGACTTCGAGTGCTTGACTCAGTTTCCTGTGTGGACCATGCTTGCGCTGTATGTTGTTGCACATGATGGCATATTTAACAAATTCGGATAGCTAAGCATTCACAAGTGGATGAAAAACATAACACATCTTTTCTTTGTTTCACAAATTTATTATGGTTCTGAAAGTGGCACGTCTTAAGATCTTTCCTTTTGATTGTGACCTGCCTGAGTTTATCACTAAGAACAACGAGTTGTGTTAATACTGTGTACTGCTATTTCTAAAGATAATGAAGGGAAATCTTATTTATTTCCCACTGTTTTTTGTCTTATCAGTCATTTATGAAGAGCAGTGTGCTCTCACAGCTAAATAATATTGCCTAGTACCTTGATGTAAGTCAAATGCATGCTGAGAACACAAACAGAATGAAATTCTTCAACTTATTTGCATAAAAAATTGAAACAATGGTTTAGAGAGAAGACGAGTCTATGTTCTCTTCAGTAATCGACATTGCCTTAGGAACGACATGAATTAAGGGAGTGCCCTCTTGTGGCAAAACAAGCAAAATCCACTACTACCATCTATTTTCTGAAGAAATGTGCATAAAGAAGAAGTATTACCCAGATCCACGGCTGATTTGTTTTCAGCACGTACTTCTAGTCTCCATGTGCTAAATCCACAGATTTAGAGGGCAGTATTGGAAGTCATTTATACTGGAAAGACAGCATTTAAACTAAGTCATGTTTTATGTTGTTAATGTGCTTTTGAGATAAAATGCAGTCATAAAAAGTTAGGATGTAGATTAAAAACAAGAACAGCATTATGCAGCTGTGTTTCTATAGTTTCAGGGTCTGCTCCAGGTCAATCTTTGCCTGGTATCTCTGGTCAAAAGGGCTGCTTTGCTGCTCTTGTGAATGATACCAGGAGAGGAGATCAAAGAACTAAAAGTCACTTACAATCTACTTCTTTCAAGACTTACTTAAAAAAAGAGAAGAAATATCTTTAAGCACATGAAACCAGATGCAGAATGCAGCTTTCCACTAATTGAGAAATCTGATCTTACAATATTAATTGGATTTTTTTTTATTAGAAATTATTAGAATAGTTAGGGAAGATATAAACACAAATGAGTCACAAATCAGTTAACTCCTCAAATGAGAACATGGTGCTAATAGAGGAAATATCCAAGCTGATACAGATTTTGATGCCACCAAGAAAATATACAAGGGGTGCAGCAGTCACCAGGAGATTCGTGTTGAGCTTTAACTTCTAATCAGGAAACAGAATTTATACTTAGTGGGAATTAACAGCCTAGATAAAAGAGATTTTTCTAGGTTTGAGGTGTTAACAAATGCAGCAATCAATGCTAACATAGTATTTTCCAAACAGGCTGTGTATAAGAGGAGCTCACAGTTGCTGGCAGGACAAGTGAACCTCGCTGTCCTCCTCTGGGAACAGAGACTATCCCAGTGTTTGAAAGGAGCCCGCGGGCACACTCAGCAACTGGAGTATGAGGAAAACAGGGTTTCACTTAATGTCAGTATAACAGAAGATAAATCTTTCCATTAGCCAGCTGTGTTAAGGAAAATAATTCATATGAGGGTTTACACTTCATTAGAATGTCTGTCTAAGGGATGAGACCGGACTCTGTGAGCAGCCTTGCATGAATTCACGCAGCTGCAAACTTTGATCTGATACAGGAGACTGGATAAATTCACTTTTCCATGAAGGTTTAATGGAACTTTTTTGCAGTTAGGATCCTGTGTTTGTTTAGAGTTATTGGGAAAGCTAGCACTGAAGGCTGTGGCAGAGAGAACACGTACAGAACAAGCATCCCGGATTTATACTTAATCCCCTATACAATCCTTGCTGGCGTCCTTGGTGGAAAACTGTTACAACACCACCGAATTACTTTTCTGATGAATTAAGGAGTCCACTTCTTTTTAATGGTAATGGGAATTACATTTCACTTTTTCTGATTCATTTGCTAATAATTAGTGCCAAATGTACCTTTAATGGATTATTAGAAAAGAATAACAGCATCTCGGCCTGATGGAAGAAGAATAACTTTGTGTCTCATTCTCTGAGATTTCAGGTGGAAATCATGTGATATACAAATCAGGATTCCTCATTTTGTGTGAGAGTGTGTATTTTTAGCTCCCTATCCCTTTAGTGGTTACATGTGGAGAATTGCATTAAATTTTTATTTACCTCTTAAAATTCAAATTTCTGTCTCACAGCTTGCTGCTTTCAGGGTTGCAATGCCTGTGAGAATTCAGAACTACAAGGTCTTGTTCAAAGAGTGCTGTGACACCTAAAGAAGAAGAGAAAGACTGACAATGTGTTTTGGAAGGATACGCATAAATATGCTCATACACAGACAATGTTATTTAAAATGTTTCTTTGTATATATGGGGGGCATTGTCTGCTTCTTCTAGTTATGACTTTGATGTATTTTGTATGTGCATGAAGTGGTCAAATTATAAATATTATTAAGAATCATATTTCTCTGAAATAATCTGTATTATTTCTGATAATCTATTTTCACCAGGCAATATGATTATTTTTCAGATCACCAGTCACACATTGTTATTTACAGATGCCCTTCACCATGTGTTTTGTGAGCAGAGATCTCAGATCAGGACAGAGAGTTGTTAATAAATGGTTGCCAGGTGGGAAACTGGCACAGGGTAACAAGGAGATTTGGTCTATTAATGTCAGGTAGATTTTGCAAAGTGGTGATTAGAGCAGCATCTGCTGCATGAATGTGTTTTGAGAGTGAAACATGGTCACTTAACCCCAGAAGATTCTAACTGATAGAAATTCACTGAGAAGCAATGGTTTGAATAAAGCTTTGAACTCTGCCCTGCTGCCTGGCGAGGGACAAGCCAGATCACTTGGACTAAACACTTTGATTTGCTTTGCTCTTTCTCTCTTGTTGTCAATGAGATTATTGTCACCTTGTACATACTACTGTGCTCTTAGATTCTGTTGGGACATCAAGCCAGGAGACTGCCAGCCTGCTGTGATATTCCTGCCTTGTATATCTCAAAATAAGCTTTTAGGATATAGACAACTTCTCTGTAGCATAAAACAGATCTCTTTACACAGGCAAGAGACAAAAATAATTGCCCTATATCCAGGTACGTGAATAGCAGAGTTCATAGTCATATTTGAAGCAGTGTTTGAATTAATATAACTAACACAGTTATGGAGCTTCTTTATTTTTCTTTGAATTTGGGGGGAAAGATCAATTTTCCCCTAAAAAAACAGTCAGTCAGCTTCCCTTTTTAAAAGGCAATTAATCTCCTTAGTCTACCTTGGAGCAGTGAAGCTGTTTATGAAACTTTATATCTCTGGGTCCAGAAGGCACAAATGCCTCTGAAAGCTGCACTGTACAGATAAGAGGCACCGAAAGTGAGCTTTTCTACATCTGTAACTGAGAGGGATGCCTGCAATTCCTATTGGATCTGGAATCCTGTTCAGTTCACCAAATCACTGCTTTTAAAGGAGAAATCATGTCCAGTCAACAGGAGTATTTATTGTAAACAAAGCCGTGATTGACAAGTCTTGCCTCTTGGTGACATTTACTTTCTCTACTAGTCACGAGTGACTTTTTTTAATTTTAATTCTTCGAGGAAGTAAGTTGTCTGAGTAGCACTACAAACAGAAAAATGGCAGTGCTAACAAAGTCAAGTAGACCTACTAGTTGCTATGAGTTAATCAACATTTCACAGTGATAAACACATTTCTAAACAAATTTACCAAACACCAGCATAATCCATTGCTGTAATCCCATTTCACAAAACAGATTTGCCCACTTGAGGTGTGACTCTCATCTAATGTTGAACCAGGAAATATTTTGTTAAGCCTTAGCACACATGTGCTCATAATTTGCTGAAGGGAGTTGGGCTGTGCACCAGAACTGAGCATAGCTGAATGTGGTTGGAGCCTTGGCTGCCCAGTTCCTAGATTTCCCAAGATTCTCATCCATATCTAGCAAGAGCACATTTAATTGCGGGAGAAGAAGCCTGGATCCATGCATATTTGGTGAGTCACAGATGCTGTTTCAGAGCATTCAGAATTTCCTGCCTTTGAGAGTGGTTTTACACATCTTTGAAAAGCTGCTTTTGGAGAAGTACAGTCTAGGATTACATGTAATGTGGGTGCATTTGCATAGAAATGATGAACTCTCAGAAAACCTCTAGTCAGTTTGAATTTCAGCATTTCTAACAAAGTCATACATATAGCCCATGACGATTTTTTTCTCACTCTGAAGAATCACACACACCCAGTGCCCTCAACACAGATTTCAAGCATGTCTATGAAGGCACGTAGCAATGTCAATCATCATCATCGCCATCATCATCATCAGAAGCCAGAACAGCTGTAACTCACTGTCTTCTCCTCTTCCTAATAATGAGATGAAGTCTGCAGAACAATGAGCATAATTAACGCACCATGAGCATTTTCTGTATTTTAATTTGCTAGCTGTATCAAAAGGCACTACTGATAAACCGAATTTGAAGAATGCACTGTGAACATTGTCAAAATCAAGGTGATGGAAGTATTCCACAGGTAGTTTAAACTGTGGCATATAGATCATTAATATTTAATTTACTGGATTTTCTTCTTCTTAAATGTGATACTACTTTATTATTATTTTTCAATCATTATCAGTAATGGATATTTGATAGTGCTTTTTATGTTCAAAATTTCTTTAGTTCCACAACAACCACCAGAGGGATGAAAATACATGTTAGTATCCCTTCACCCCTGCGACGCAGTGCAGGTGCCTGCTGCAGCAACTCCCAGAGCAGTACCAGGTGAGCGGGCAAGTCAAACCAACACAGTGCAACACCATGCAGAGGTCCCAGCTTGTACTGCAAAAGCAATGTGCAAGGGCATGTTTGTACTAGGCAATGTTTTTTTCATGCAACTTCCGTTTATGGAAGAATAGGCTAAGACATCCTGCTCAGTCATTCCTGCCATAGGGTGGAAACTTATGGAAGAG